TATTTGACAGAGAGAGACACAGCGAGAGAGGGAACACAAGCAGGGGGAGTCGGAGAGGGAGAAGCAGGCTTCCCGTGGAGCAGGGAGCCCGATGCGGGGTTCTATCCCAGGACCCTGGGATCATGACCTGAGCCGAAGGCAGACGCTTAACAACTGAGCCACCCAGGCACCCCTGAGGAAAGGTTTCTGCCATAGTTGTGGAGGCTCGGGATAGGGAAGAGAATTCTGGGAATGGGTTTCGTCTCTGTTAAATAGACCATTCAGTGAGTCCTCCTGTTTTTAGCCCCATCTTCACCCCCACTTCTTGAGTTACCTGGTTGTGCAGCTTCCTGAGCCTTTGGGGGTGCTCTGATGTAAACCGGGTTGCTTCTCAGCTTACCTGGCCGCCAGTTTAGGACTTGGTTTCTTGGGTCTGCTGAGCCAAATCCCCCCATCCATTTGCTTTTCTGCTTCTTAAGTGGTTTTTGGTTGGTTGGTTGGTTGGTTGGTTGGTTTTTGTAGTTTTGGGTCTCCTCTCGAGTTCTCTTTGCTCTTGGCCGTTTATGCTTAAGCAACAAAATGAAATTGTACTTGTTTTATTTGGTAGGCCTTCATGAGGGAGCAAATGTAAATGAGTGTGTTATATCTGCCATCTTTAACTGGAAGTCCCTAAGTTTTTCATTTTGCTGCTCTTTTTCTTTTAAATTATATGTAGATATTTATTAGGTTTTTCTTAATGACAGTGTTTTTACACATACTTTTTTCCATGAATATAAGGGCTTTGGAGGAAGTTTTTTATTTTTTCTGAAAGGCATCTTCAGTATTTTTAGGAGCTGTGTCATAATATTCCACATTAATAATAACGGTAGCATTTATTGAGCCCTTACTGTGTGCCCTGTCCACTGTATACATGCTTTACGCGGGGTCATCCCGTTTGATGCTCCATTATACTCCCCATTGTAAAGAGAGACTCCGAGGCCCCCCAGATGGTGTCTCCTGCAGAAGGTCACCCACTGGTGAGTGGCAGAGCTGGGGCTGTTGCAGGATAAACAACACCATCTCCCCCAAGTTTATCGCCATTCCGCTCTCAGTCCCTCTTGCACCCCAGATCACTTTCCTTCTGCCCTAAATACAGCTTTGGAATTTCATGGTGGAGATCTGCTGGTGACAAACTCTCAGATTTTGATTGTCTGAAACTATCTGTATCTCACCCTCTTTCTCAGAAGATACTTGCATTGAGCATCTGAGCTGGGCTCGCTGCTTGTTATCTTTGAGCACAATGAGGACATCGTTCCGTCCTCTGCTCTCTCTGCCCCCCAGAGCTCTGGCAGCAGCCTGGACTGGGGGCTCTGGTGGCCCTTGTCTGTCCGGGCTGGGACATGTGTGTTTCTCACAGAAGTGTATGTGACATCACCGGGGTGTATCACACGCTTCAAGTGCACTGGGGCTGAGAAGTCTTTTTAGCTGGGCACAGGAACCCGACTGGTACATGGAACACGGTCTCTGTTCAGAAATGTATCTCACAGTTTTAAAGCTGTGTCTAATTTTTAAAAGGGGTACTTTTTTGTATGATGATATAAATGATGAAAATCTAAAAGTTACAAAGAGGATTGAGGAAAAAGTCAACCTCCAGGGCCCTGGTTCCCCTCCATGGGGCAGTGGTCTCTGGCTCTGTGCATCTCCCAGAGACCACCGGTGCATCTGTAAGCATATGTTCTTATACCCAAGAAAGCTTGGTTTCTGTTGTTCAACATAGTACTGGAAGTCCTAGCCTCAGCAATCAGACAACAAAAAGAAAAGGCATCTAAATCGGCAAAGATGTCAAACTTTCACTCTGCGTAGACAACATGATACTCTATGCAGAAAACCCCAAAGACTCCACCCAAAACTTGCTAGAACCATACAGGAATTCAGCAAAGTCACAGGATATAAAATCAAGGCACAGAAGTCAGTCATTTCTATACACTAACAATGAGGCAGAAGAAAGAGAAATCAAAGAATTGATCCCATTTACAATTGTACCAAAAACCATAACATACCTAGGAATAAGCCAAACCAAAGAGTTACAGGATCTGTACTCTGAAAACTATAGAACACTTATGAAAGAAATTGAGGAAGGGCGCCTGGGTGGCTCAGTTGGTTGAGCGACTGCCTTCGGCTCAGGTCATGATCC